GACGATTTGATTTAATAACTACTCCACGATAATTTCGTTGAGAAGCACATTTAAATATCTGATTATCGTACTCACAACACTCGACATTTTTACTCATAACTATGTTACATATGAGGTGGCGTTTCTGAACTTCCATTTCCGTATTTGATTCCATTTTTGATAATCTATTGATCATTTGTGTTAATAGTTTTCTGGAAGATTTGACTAATTTCTTGAATATTCCGAAAAAGCCCTTATTTCACTGAGAGGCATATTAAAATTTCTCACATCATCAGACACATGTATTAAATTATGCATACTCAACACTTGAGACTTCGGACCATATAAGGATGGCAATAATTCAAAAATCTTCTCAACAGGTAATCTGCATAATCAACGTGGTCTTGAATTCATTCCTCACTGTTACGTATGCGACACGCAACAAATAACAAAAAAATGCTCATAATAATTCTTAGAAATAATATTTTTAAGAAGAACAAGTTACTGGTTACTTGTACAGTACAAGTTCTGGCTGGCTTTGTGTAATGAATGAATCCTGAGAACATTTTGAAGAATCTAAGTCTGGGTATACCTATACGAGTTTTGTGACAGTTTTCACCGATTGATATACCATAAACTGTGCATCTCTTACAAGCACAATAACCTCCTGGTTGTTAACAACACTTAATGAACGCTCTGATCAGAGAATCTGTCAATATTCCCGGGAATTTTACTGAGTAATATTGATCATTGATGTTGATTCCATTTACAGTGAGACAATTTACTTCAAGGATCCAATCCTTCACACAGCCAAGTTTTGAATCGTCGCAATATATGGTAGTTTATGATAAAGCTGAATAGAATTCGTATTCAATACCAAGGTACTTGAAATTCGTTTCTGTTCCAGCACTACTCATCATAACCACCAAGTTTTGACGATGAACAGTTTTCAGTAACGTTTGTGCTATCCTTGGTAACGCTGTCTATCCTTCACTCCTAAGTGTAACTGAAAGATCACTTATTACGCTAAGAGATAGTGTAGATAAGTTCTGCGTAGCCCAGGCTGGTATTTTTTCTTTCATTCCATCACCAACGGGAATTACGTAAAAATTTTCATTTTCAGGATAATCCCTATGATTCGAATCGTTTTCATTTGACGATGTGCTTGTAAGAAGAGAAACGTCTTTTGAGGACAAATGCACAACGTAGTTAAAATCCTTTAGCTCTCGCGTTATATTTACGTTCACAGTTGGTGTCTCATCGAAAGCAGTTTCCTTCCTAGCGGAATACTTCTATTATTCTCGGGAATTGTTGGCATCTGTGATAACGATTGCGATTTCGCGAGAATGGCTCGAACATGAGATCTTGACAAATCTGATGTGCCGGCAACTTCGACTTCAGAATCAATTGAATCCATGGTGATTATTCGTACTATTTTTAACCTCTTTTTCCTTTTTTCAAAAGTTTCTATTAAGAAAGCATCAAGTCAATAACAGATCTATTTTTTAGTATGAAAGACAATCATTTCAACTCCTTATCAATACCTAAAAAAGTAGAAAACATTTGTAACTTAGACGCATACTTTAATATTTTAACCGCAAATTTTTTCCACGTGCTTTTGAGGGGCCCCTGATTTTTCACCATATCGTCAACACTACAGTAATCCAGTCTTGGTGGATAGATACACTTCTGAGAGTCGTCATTAGTTAACCAAGAACAGGGAACAAGTTCAATTGGTTTTTTTTTTATTCACAAGTTCAGAAACGAACTTCACCACTACGAACTGATACTTAGTTTCGGTATCTATCATAGATCGATATTTAGTTTCGACGATTTCTAGAAATTGTTGGCTTCCCGATGGAAATTAAATATTCGTTTTTAATATTAAAATCATTGACTGTTTAATCGTAACTGACTCTTACTTCGTTTATCTCGATTAAGCAAACTTATTTTATTTCACCGAACACGCCACTCTTTCAACTATTTAGCAATAGTTTTCAATCCGTTAGAGAACGTGAGATTTTTTCTGAGAAATCTTGTTATATTCAACATTTCACACTGAACATTCTTTAGTTTTTATTCTATGGTCACTTGTATGTACTTTATGTACCAACAGTAGAAACAATTACATTAATATATCAATCACATCGATTCAATTCCATTCTACACGTGACCAACCGGCATAAGGTTTGGCCATTTTTACATACTAGGATGATGCAAGAACGCGCGCGTCTTTCTCAAACCCAATGAAACCATTTATCCGTGGATATACATTTTTAACTTACAAACCCAAAAATCACATTGACAAAACTATTCGAATAAATAAATATTCCATTAGAGGATTGTAATTAATCAAAATGATTGTCTAAGGTTCTATCAATCTTTTTCGTGTTTTTTTCTCGATTACTATACCCCCACTGTCCACTGCCATCACTTTAGCTCTCGTCACGTGTCTACCCAATCTCCAATACTTCCTTGATCACTACCCGCGAATTTCCGAAAATTCTAATCATAACTTAATTCAAACTTTCTTGCCAAACCACACGAATCATATATGTAACATCGAAATAGAAAATACTGGGGTAAGATAGGCACGTGAGATAAACCGGACACCCATTAAAAATTCTTTCATCTTTTCATATACTGGCTGATTTATATCGATATTTTAGTATATTTTCGAGTGAAATCCGTCGCTGTATTTTAACATAAACTCCGGCTCATCGTTTTAGTGTCGCGTGAAATATCGCTTTTCTTTTGTATTATGAGATCGGAATTTCGAGGTTAGTAATGTATTGTTCCCTCGAGGTTCCAACTTGTCATTTATTGTGGCTGGTGAAGTCAATGATTTCCCGTGAATTTTATATCGTATATGATGTCTAATTTCACAGCATTGAGAGTGGGTCTCTTGACTCTCGGGTTTTATATTTTGTGGTAAAATTGTCAAGGATTGGCTGAACGTAACTGGCCTAAATCGTTTTAAAATTTAAGCGAATAAAGCGCACACGTTTGTCTTATCGTACGCCCGTTCCATTGTGGCAAATTTAGCGTAGCGAGCTTCCCGGAGATTTGAAATTAATTGCAAAATAATTATTTTTTCATATTGAGAGAAACATTCGTTCATCCTCTCAGTTATTGTCGGCGTCTGTTTACGTTGTCTTAAAGCTTTCCTTCCTTCAACCGCTCAACTCTCTTTATCTGTATTCTAACGTATTAGTGGTTGTTCAACATGCTCATTTCTCGCGGTAGAGCAGTTTGCTTTTCTATTTTAACTTTGACACAGTAACTGTTACCTATTTTATCGACTGATTCTAATTTTATATTTCATTATTATTGATTCATTTTGACTCTCTTCGGGTGACTATTTTATAATTTGTGTTGTGCATCAGGTTTTTCTGAGCGAGAGGGGTATGGCCAACTCGTGATTCTACTAATTGCACAGACTAGAAAAATAAAAATAAAATGACCAGTGAATTTCAGGCTCAAAAATTTCGACGATTGTTCCGGACCGACCGGAGGGTTCGCCAAAAGCGGATAATTCTAAAGATTTTTCTTACTAATTCGAAAATTAGCAGGTGATCAAGGGATTTTAGTGGGAATTAAGAGTTAATAAATATTTATAGGAAAGATTAGCTATGGGGAAATCGCATCGGGCTGTTAATCGCACCAGGAAAAGGAATAATAAAAATTATCATTCGGCGTGTGGTTAGTGGGCCTTTCCTTTTGCAATATCTCCACGGGATGTACAGCCTGGCTACGAGTTCCAGCACTCCTAAGCAGGGGATCTGTGGGTCATTTTAGGGTACGTTTTAGGGCTGGTAAATTAGTAGGGATAGTTACGACCAACACCCGAATGGACTGTCATGCTCGTTTGTGTTTATTGCGTAGTTATTGAGTTAGAAAGTTAAGTTACGCTGCACAGATCCCTGGGGAACCAACCTGGCGGAACTAGCAGCAATAATAGTGTATTTGGCTTAAAATATAAATATTTACTCTCCTATTCAAATTTGAATGGGAGGTCGTAGCGATTGGTTCTTCCATGTTCTCTGATGTAGTTTTCTGTCCTTAACCCACTGAAGTATTCTACCTGTTTGGAACGTTCCAAAAAGATTCCTTATCTACGTTGCGATCTTAGACGTGCGTTTCTCAATTCACAGCTTATTCACGACATCTGCCCTCCAGTCGCTCGTCCTCTCCCTGGCCGTCTCCGATATAGTATTACTTCCACCAGGCTTCGGGTCTGATTTGTTGTCTATAATCTCCCCACAAACAGTCTGCCATCTACTTAGGTTCTTACTGAAGCAAGGACATGTGAAGAACACATACTCCAGGTTTTCGATTGTTCTTCTGCAAACTGGGAATTCCGTTCGAATTTAGGAAGATAGATCCAGAAGTACCCATGCCACGATAGTGTCAGCATCAAATAATAATTGACTTCTCTATAGTTCCAAAGCAGGCACACATCCGCAATCGAGTTCAGATGATTCGTCCAACTTCTTTTGGGGGGCCAGTCCCATTTCAGCTGCCATCGTTCGAAGCGGTGCTACTTCTCTTTTATCACGAATCGTTTCGAATTTAGCCCCTTAGCTTTCTTCTGCTGGTAGAGGAACCTTCGCTCCTCAACTAGTATATCCACCGATAACATTCTTACCATAACGCACTGATTGATGTATTAAATGATAATTTTAATGAGAATAAGTTGAAAGAATATTAAATTATTTTCGTGTCTTGATTTTCTAGAAAATGATTTATTCCATAATTAATTGATTTTTAAACCTTCGTGGATGATTAATGAATTAATTTGAGAATAAAGAATTAAGAAATCATGAAAATTCCATTTTGGATTTGATTGTGTAACTACAAAGTAAAGTAAAGTTGTGTCGGACAAAATATGGTTGAGGGTTTATAATATGATGAACTTGACCAAATTGTACATGTCTAACTATTAATATTACAAACTGTTCTCTATAAGTAAATTTTGGGCTCACAACACGCTTTATTAATTCTTACTATTTCTTTTTCAGATATGGCATAAACAATGCTTCAAGTGTCAGGGCTGTGGGATGACTTTGAATATGCGTACTTATAAGGGATTCAATAAACAGCCGTATTGCGAGGCGTGAGTACACATTTTATCTAATAAAATGAATAATAGAACATCATTTGTGAATTGAGATAATGTTTTTTTAATATTGATGTAAAAAGTAGGGATAATGCATTTGAAGAAAGAAAAGGATATTGGGTAAGAGGGAAGACAACATATAGTTAAAATTTCATATCTAGTTGAAATGTCAGATTTTCAGTAAGCAGAATTTGAAATCAGATAGGCGTTCAGTTAGCTGTCAGCAGATTAAAAATCATTTTGACATTGTCTTCAAATCTTTCTACACCTTCTTTGAGTGAGAGATTCGTTCTCGATACTGCCCCGGTAGACATTCAAAGAGAAAATTTTATTGCACCCAGCCTTTCAACCGTGCCCATTAACCTAGAAATCCCGATTGTACCTTCATCATTATAGCACTATTCCTTACAGCATAATTCAATTACAGCAACAATTTTATTATCGGCACATTTTATCACAGGTACAATAAATTATGGTGGTAAATGTCTAGAAAAGGGCCACCGTCCCGATTTTATTTTTTTATATAAATACTATCGATCCGCTGTTGGTACCCCCCTTCACCGTACTCCTGACAATACCAGTGTTGACGTGGGCCGTTGTACTCGTCGCGATAATCTCCGCTGCCCTTCTGCAGCATTTTAATATAAATTTAGGTAATATAAACTATAATGTTTATATCTGTTTATATAAAAATGTGTATATACATTACATTATATAAGTAGTATACATATACATATTTTTACTAATTAGAATGGCATTTTTACAATTTTTCCTAACGCTTTCCGCTGATACCTTTTGCAACCCAGGTAGGAAAAAACAAAAGGTCCAAATTTGGTCCAAGCATGGCTCTTGTTCGGCCAGTTCTGGCCCGAAAATGGTAACCAAATTAGTTCCAAGGTTGGTTACTCTTTGGGATGATAACGTGCGGGCCAAGCTTGGGTTCCGCCTTAGGCCCTGATTTGGGAACTTAGCTACGGTCCAAGCTCGGTTGTTGACAATGGTCCGAATAAGGTATTTTGATCTGGCTCAAACTTAGCAGCCGTGAATGGTCCTAACTAGAATCAAATGTGGTCCTAATAAGGATCGAAGCTATTCTACTTTGACGTTCATGGATAATATGGATATTCAGAAAGTTTTATGGAATGAATCAATTTATTCAAGTAATTTTATTCGTACACAAAAAAACATTCAAAATTTATACCATATCATTATTACTAAATAACTTTGGCGTAGAGAAACTTATTTATAATGTGTAATGCAATGAGAATCCAATTAACAGTTTGGAGAAAACGGAAAACATTAATAAATTATCCTTGAGGTAATTCAAACTCACGTAGTTTTTATATGAATCAAAACATTCTGCTCACTCCAAATTTAAAGGTAAGATTTTTCAACAAATTATTACCTATTTATATTAGAAGAAAGACAACTGAAACAAATTTCATTACAACAGCAAATGTAACTTTGAAAAATGAAGAATAATAATCCAACTGTGACTATTTCTTCAAATTAACTCTTTCAATATTCTAAATCTTTAAATAAAAATATTTATTTCATTCAGATTCACCCTCAGAATAACTGCTCATCTTCTAATAAAGAAAAATATGAAATTATAAATGTTCATAGCAAGAATATTTTTTTCTTGGAAATACGCTATTATTTTCTATTAATTAACCAACATTATTGATTATTAATTCTTGTTTATAAAAATAAAAAAGACGCGTCATAGGAAAAGTATGTTTTTTTTTGTCTGACATACCACACTTCCACAAGCAGCGTGACTTTTTTTGTAAGAAAATTTTTGGATGGAAAATACTCATTCTTTAAATAACCATCATTTAATTTGAATAAAGCAATCGAAATTTCATCTTTTTGCAATTATATTTTTTGTGCATCGCATGAACCCAAGGCGTAAAAACTTCCTGTAACACATGGCTTAATTATCTCCTGATAAAAAATAAATAAATTCCAATGAATTATCTTTAGTCTCAAATTAACTAAGTCTTGAACAAAATCATAGTGATCCACTTTTGTTCCTATAAGTATGGCGAACATTCGTGAACTTCAGCCCTTTTGCCTCTTCTTGACTCGGAATCGAGCATTAAAAAATATTCAACAACTGATATTTTAATTATCTTCGAAAAAAAACAAAATAAATCCCACTGTCCTTATTTTTTTTTTGCAAACACAGGGTTTTTTCTCCATATAATATCTGAACTTATCAATAGACTTTAAAAAAATTAATCTAATGCCATGAAAAAGTCTTCCCTGATTTAGAACTAATATTAGTCTAATACTTCTCAAGTGATGTGAATTTCAATCTTCATTCGGCATCATGGTACGAAGCAAGGCCTGTTTTTTCCTTTTAGAAGCCCCACCTTCACGATCAGCAGCACCCCATAGGAATTTTCCGACTTTAGAAGCAATATTCAATTTTTGTGGTTTCTCACTATTCAAATTATATTTCACTTTCAAGTAGTCTGCGAAATAAAGTTCTTATTTAGAATATGCATAATGACGACAATTGAATTCAATTTCTTTATGAAGACACTTACCTGTCAAACATTTATACGTAAACGTCGCACTGAAATCCTTCTTAAAGCCATGGACAGTCTTTCTGCCAACCCCACTGTAATGAATCTGGACATTTTTCTTGATTAATGCACCAAGAATGATGGATATTGTTGCCTCCCACTTTTCCACTTTTCCCGCTTCCATTTCCATGATATCTTTCTGACATTGGTGAAAGGATTAAAGAAATAATAATTAATTAAAGACGAGAGATATAATAACTTAAATGAAAAATTTATCATGACAAATCTTACCAAATTTATTTGTCGTTGGATGGCACCTTCTGGGTTGTCTACATTGCTGTCATCTTGTGGATTTAAGCTTGCGTCAAATTTCAAAAACTCATCGAGTCCATCTATTGGAAACGTGCAAGAAAATTTGCTTTTTGGATTCTCAGGCCTAAAATTACCTCTCACATTAGACGCGGTAAAGACTGATTCCTTCAATTCTTCTGTGAGCTTTTTTAGGTCATATTGCCATCCTCTACGCAGTCCATCCAATTTTTCTGCCCAAGCGAGTGTCATCAAATCACATTTTACAGTCAAGTATTCCACAATGAGTTTAACGTCTGCAGTATTAGCTCGTTCCATGAGGCCCATCAAACGAACTTCCAGTGTTTGTTTGTTCTCATTCCGACTTACTTTTGGAAAAACTGCACTGGCATTCTTATTCAAGGTGGTGAGTGCGCTTGGTTCGGAATGATTTGGGCTTGATACTGGAGCTATTTCTACCGACTGTGGCGGAATACTTCGATTATTCTCAGGAATTGTTGGCATCTGTGATAGCGATTGCGATTTCGCGAGAATAGCTCGAATATCAGATCGTGACAAAGCTGATGTGCCGTCAACTTCGACCTCAGAATCAGTTGAATCCATGGTGATTACTCGCTGAAAAGCTGTTTTTAACCTCTTTTTTCCCCTTTCAAAAGTTTCTATAAAAAAACATTAACTCAATAAGATATCTAATTTTAAGTGCGAAAGACAATAATTTTAACTCTTTATCAATACATAACAAAATGGAAAACATTTGTAACTTACTTGCGTATTTCAATATTTTAACCTCAAATTTTTTCCACGTGCTTTTGGGAGTTTTTTGATTTCTCACCATATCGTCAACTCTACAGTAGTCTACTTTTGGTGGATAGACACACTTCTGAGGGTCGTCATCGGTTAACCAAGAACAGGGAACAAGTTCAATTTGTTTTTTTCCATCCACAAGTTCAGAAACAAACTCCACCACCACAAACTGATATTCAGTTTCGATATCCATGATCGATCGATATTTAGTTTCGGCGTTTTCTGGGAATTGTAGGCTTCCCTGTAGAAATCAAATATTCGTTTTTAATATTAAAATCACTGACTTTTCAACTGTAATTGACACTTACTTCGTTTATTTCGATTAAGCAAAATTTTTTTTTCACCGAACACGCCACCCTCAATATTAGTTTTTAATGGCATAAAATTTCCGCCATCTTTACATATTAAGATGATGCAAGAACACGCACGTCTTTCGCAAACCCATTGAAACAATTCATCCGTGGATATATATTTTTCACTTATAACCTCAGAAATCACACTGACAAAACTATTAGAATACATAAATATTCCATTCGAGAATTGTAATTAATAAAAATAATTTTCTAAGGCTCTATCAATCCTTTTCGCGTTTTTTCTTGATTATACTATACCCCCACTTCCATCACCGTAGCTCTCGTCACGTGTCTACTAAATCTCCAATACTTCCTTGATCACTGCCCGCGAATTTCCGAAAATTCTAATCATCACTTATTTCAATTTTTCCTGTCAAACCACACGAGTCAATTATGTAACATCGAAATAGAATAATTGTTATCATTTATTGTTAAGTACAAACACTTTTTTTCCACTTCTGTTAGTGACAGTCGCTCCAAATTTCGAGATATCCTTTTGATTTTATGCACTCCAATTTCTTTAGAAAGACATGGTGCTTGGAACACATTTTTAGTGTTCTGAACAGTATATCCCTCGATGAACAAGTCTTCAACTTTATAGACCTCTGATTGTACTTGATGCTTTATGAATAAATTTTGAATTTTAAATATTCCTCCACGTTTTAATTCTACGACATTGTTAGAAGCATTGGTTTTCAGGATCATGTTATTGTATTTCAGAGACTGGACTTTTTTGAACAAAGTTCCGTCCAAATCCAAAACATCATCACTTTTTTCCAAAATTACATTCTCAATCACTGAGCATTTCTTTATTCGTATATTTTCCGACAATTCCATAGCACTAATTCGGTTAACAATTTGAGACAATGGCCTTGCCCTACTAGTAATGAAATGCTTCAATTTTCCAATCAAATTTTCACCCCAGAAAGCAGACAATTCGTGGAGTGAAATATGATGAAATCGAACGTCGTCAGCGAGGTGAATCAAGCTATGAGCG